ATGCAGAAGTGGATCAGAAGTACTTTCAGTCCACTTCTAGGTCTGCTACCAATGATGTGGAGGGCCCCCCCCCACACACTCCTGTGGGACGCTCCATCTGCCCCAGCATCGCAGCAATCACAAGACGGGCTGGGACCTCAAGATATGTAGAAAAAACATCTAAAGCTGTGTCTGTCTGAATCACTGATTCTCCAAGTCAGCATCAAATTGGGGACAGTGATCTGAATCAATTAATGAAATCACTGTCCCCGATTCAGGCCAAATCAGAATCAAATAGGGCCTTCACACACCCCTAGTAGATTTGCACTGTATAGACTAACCATGGTAGATGACACCCCCCCACACTAATCTACCCTGCCTTCTGCTTGACTTCAGACTAACACAGCTAGCAATGACTCTTATGTCTATAAACATCTACAGTAATACAGGGGCTCTGCTGACAGATACATTCCATCTAGTTATGCCTGTTACAAGCAGATCTAAACTGTAAATAAGGCAGTGTAGATGGCCTGGGTTTGTCTGACTAACTGTGTGTGCCTACACTTCGCTATTTCGGTTTGGAGACCCCAAACATGGTACTAGGCAGCACGCTCAGGGCCATTGAGGTATACCCCTAAATCAGGGGTGGGCAAAATGTGGCCTTCAGGCTGGATGCAGCCCGCCAGGCCATTCTATCTGGCCTGCAGGGCCCCTAAAAAATTTAGAAAATTAATATTTATCTGTTCCCAGCTGCCTGTCATGCGGCCCTCGATGGCTTGCCAAAACTCAGTAAGCATCCCTCCGCCCAAAATAATTGCCCGCCCCTACCATAAACTGTCTATTCTGCTTCATTTGCAAATGTGGACACATGTGCAGCACATAGGGGTGGGCATGCAAGATGTATCTTTTGCCAGTACTCCTATTTCAAGAACATATGGGCAGAGTCTATTTGTCAGAACAGTACTGAGCTAGCTCTATTTTATTGTAGGGACTCTCCAGAAGTATAAAAATGCAGCTCGGCCGGCCCTAAGAATCTGGCCCGAATTCTTGTAGAGTAATACACTGTAATTATTAAATTTCAACTGCTGAAAAACAATTTCGTGAAGAATTCTGTTTTTTATTTCTTTGACAGAGAGCATTTCTTCTTTCCCAGAACATTTTAGAACAATAAAGGCATTAAAGGGAAACTTCATGAAAATGTACACTGAATAGATACACAGTTACAATTGCCAGAGTTTTTGGGACTGGAATTTGAGGTTTGTGCATAATATTCTTCATCTATCTATTAAGCTTAATGGCACTAAAATGGTCCTCAATATAATGCCGTAAGCCCTGCCTTATCTCACAAAACAAATGTCCCTAGTCCCATGTTACCTATTTTATGGCAGTCATAAATACAAAATACAGCAAAAGTATCAGTTGTCACAATACCAGTGAGGTGCCTTCACTAACTTAAGAGATGGGTTTAAACGGTCATTTTGGTGTTTTTGGGGGTCATGGATAAGTGTAGCTCAAATAATGAATACACTGCGTTTTCTTTTAAAAAGTAATATGCATTTCATAAAACTGAGTGGACTCTTTACTTGCCAGTTATGTTCTCATCAGCATGTTTGTTAGAAATTCTGTTTTCTTCATGAAATATATACTCTTCACCTTCACTCCTTCCAGTTTCTTCATTGTCATCCTTTCTTTCACTATAAATGTCTTCAAAGCCCTCTGGAATGAAAAGATGTGAAAAATCTATCACTTGCTAGTTTTATTTCGTTTGCAAATGAAACATTAGCAGAATTAAAATTCTAGTAAACTCTCTCTCTCTCTCTC